AAAACATGGTAATCCTATGCTTGGCGATTACAGTACGTTTGGCGATGATATTAAGACTTCACCTCCAAAAGGCAACACATGGTCAACTCTCGAATGTGTAAATGAGAAGAGATTTAACAAATTTCTTTCCGTATTAAAAAAAAAAAAAAAAAAAAAAAAAAAAAAAAAAAAACTTTGAAAGGTTTCAGATTTTAAATTACGTCCAAAGGGGCATTTTTTTAACATTTTGTGTGTTACATTTATTTATTAAATATCACGTTCTTCGTTCTTAAACCATAAAATTCAGTTCAACAGCAATATCGCAAAATAGTTTCAAAATGAGCATATCTTTAGAATTTCCAATACAAAGACTCGCGCGCTGGTGATAAAAATGTTTTTTCTGTACAACGTTGTCATGGCTCGCTTTGAAATCCTCGTGTTTGTTAATCAAAAATTCGTTAAAGTTTTACAAAATATGAAATCGATAACAAATTCCAAATTTCAAATTTGGGCTTCCACATGCCCATATTCGTAGGAGGATTACGTCATTCAAAATTCGATGGCCATAGGTACTGTTGTTTTTTCACAATGCGAGAAATATACATACATTTATGCAGATTTTTCATCATTTAATTTCTTCAAATATAATGCAGGACTCTAACATTTGGTGGCAACAGTTTGAAAAGTAAAACGGACATTTACAGTGAACCAACGCAAAATCGCAAAACAGAAACAGGAGTCCTTCAGGAGCAAAGCCCCTTCGGACTAAAAAAAAACAGATTTTGCAAATAAAACTGTAGCCAAAAAACTGAATTTAATGCTGTTCTAGTTAAGAATTACTCACATTTTGTGTCATTTATATTTATTCGGGTTTTGCTTTTATTATTTTTTTTTTATTTACCCAAATTCGTTATTTTTTCGCACTTCTCATATTGTTCTTTCACATTTTATGAATGCATATACATATTGTAAATATTCTGAGGCTCCCATTCCTCGTTTGCTTATATTGACTTTTGTCCACTCCTTTGGATTTTCATCTCATTATGATTCATACCCCATTCGCTTATGTATGCATTGTTTACGATCTTGTTTATCCATTAAATTTCTCTTGGTCGCATTTTTGTCCCCTTATAAGGTTAGCTTTCAAGAGTTTTGCCATATTCAATTAACCTAATTATTTCCTAAAACGTTTAGGTCTGGTTATTCATCTGGTTGATAAAGAATTTTTTTGGTACATCAGCGTGAGAAATCAACTATGCCTCGCCGGATTCGAATTATTGATCTCCCAATTTCTAGCCTACGATAACACGCGCAGGAAAATGCGAGAATTCCGCATATTCTCCTCCACTTAAAGGGCAGCTTGAAAGAGGCAGAGATCCAGTCGACTTAACTTAAGTAATGGCGAATTACTACACATTCGGGCGCCACTATGCAGAAGTTTTCAAAGTCCAGAAGCGTGGAAATTCAATTATCCCTTTCCCGAATACGAATCGCAGATCTTCAACTCTCTAGCTGAATGTACTACCACTTATACCACAACAGCCAGCGTGGAAAAATGCAGTAACATCTTGACTGATTTAATATTTATTGTCAGAGCCAAGAAAGGGCGCTGAATAAGCTGCAAGTAGTTACAGAAATTCATTTAAAAAATTATGACTGATGATATTTAGCTTCGAAACACATTAAAAAGTCCTACTTAAAAGTACATAAATATATATATATATATATTTTTTAAAGATTAACGCTATATACGATAAACGAAAAGCATTACATTCTTGATACTGCATTCATGCTGTGCAGTCGAATATCTGATTTCCTGCACTCATTTTTCGTAGCCATTTTCTCGTTCAGGATAACGGCTCTCAGTTTGTTTAATCCGATAAACCATCTACGTAATAAACAACAACGATCAACTATGTCAACGTATAAACATCAACAACAACTTAAATATGAATTAACTTGTTTGCTTTATTACCTTTCTGCATTCAGGTGTCTATAATGTATATTTTTCACTTCATGGTTTACATTTATTAAGGGCAAGAGATCAAGAAAATTTTTTTCATTATAAATAACTCAATTGAATTTTTAGAGAAGAATTAAGGACATTAATTTTTCTCAGAAGGGCTGAATTTTACATACTTGATTTCTAATATTAGCATTCGTTATTGGAATTAACTTATTGACATTAAGTTTAATGAACTGCACAAACTGAATTTGTCTAATGAAATGCTGTACGGCCTATGCTAGTGCTTTCATACTGCAATTTACTTAAGTTTCTACTGTCAGAAATCCTGTTAAGTTGAGATTGGTACAACTTCTCTATAATAGGCTTTCTAAAGTCTATAAATTGAACTTGAAATAACGTGATAATCGATTGCAGTTTATTTCAACAATACACAAAGCATCAAGGTTTCACCATAAGACCAGCGATTAAGGTATATGGATAATGGTAATTTAAACCTAGGCGTTCAAAGCCACGCGACCGGTAGGGCCCCCGGAGTTCAAAAGCAGGCGACCGAGCTGTCTACATGGTTGGTTTTGTGATTTTCCTCGTGTCTGACAGGAACACTAGCAAGATTTCCTTAGAAAGTCCTCCACTGAGACATCTCTCCCCTTGAGAAGATAGCCCTAATGTGCTTTTTCATAGTCAGATAACCTAACCTAAACTAATGCATTAAAACTTATTGCAGCTAATTAAGCAATTAAGAGCTTAAGTAAAATTCTCTGAAAATGAAATATCAGTTTTTATTTACATGTTTAAATGAAATATCATTGAAATGTGCACAAAATGAAAATAAAATATCATCATTAGTTTCTCGATCCGTTTTTCGTTTTAAAGCTTGCAGTTGAATTAGACACATTCTTTTGGTGTTTTCGCCCCGATGTATCCAAATTTAGTTACAATTAGAACTTCACAATAGTTTCATTTGCGGTTATTTGTGCAATAACTACAGTTATTGCTAGATGGGTTAAGTGAATTGGCACTTTCCTGTCATTTTGTGTGGAGACTGGAGAGTAAAGACATCGGGTAAGACATGATTTCTCCTATTCATAATACGGCAATAAAAACAATTGTGCAATATCACGGATATAAAAAAAAATATTTGAATTTTAGAATAGCAATAACTACAGTTATGCTATTCTAAAATTCCATCTAGCAATAACTGTAGTTATTGCTAGATGGGTTAAGCGAATAGTCACTTTCCTGTCATTTTGTGTGGAGACTGGAGAGTAAAGAGATCGGGTAAGACATGATTTCTCCTATTCATAATACGGCAATAAAAACAATTGTGCAATATCACGGATATAAAAAAAATATTTGAATTTTAGAATTTTGTTGCGGAAGAATTCAGATACATCCTTCCAGCTAATTCTAAGATAACTGATACCTTCCAGCTAATTCTAAGACTACAAAAACATACCAATTTTCCTTAACATCGGAAAAGATATCCCTAATATCGGTAATAGCTGTAGTATTAAACAAACATTGTTTGAAAGTATAAAAAATTGAAAGCATAGCTATTATAAAAGTATATGCTTCCTTTATTAAATTTTTTATTAAAATACAAACTATGTTTAAAAAAAAAAGAAATTATAATGCTCGGTAATAACTAAGGTTCTAGGAAATAATTATAAGCAAAGTATTTATCAATATTTATTTCCCTTCCAATATTGATTACATAATTATTCTTTTTCGCTTGCCAGTGGTCAAGCGTATAATACCACTGACCTTGAGTTCGACTTGAGTTCAAATCCCGCAAATGGATTGGCTACATAAGAGTTTTTATGGTTTTTCTCCGTGTGTAATAGAAATACGAAAGAGGTTTCGCGCGAAAGTCCTACACGAAGGCATTCCTCCCATCAGGCGGACAGCCCTAGTGTGCTTTGCCATAATTCAATGAACAAAATAAATTCATTATGTAGCGTAAATATTGGCCACTTTCTCTTAGGTAGTCTTCCATAAGGCATCTTTTCTTATGCAGATCGCTCTTGCATGCTTTGCTTTAATCAATTAACTAAACCGAATTCAGAGCTTTCTTAATTAAAATAGAGAAAGAAAAGGCAGAGTCACATATTTAGTATAATTTTCTTTTCCTTATTATTGCTTAACATTTAATAAATGCATCAACTCTGTAATATATAAAGTATCAGATGATAAATTAGTGGAATGGGCTGAAATAGCAAGCTGAAGCAAATTAGTTTTGTGTTTCTAAGTTTCCTGCTTGAAATTTAATATCGTAAGAAACGAAAAAGTAAATAAAAGCTTGCAATCAAAAGCTGTAACACTTTATAAAGTGCAACACTTAATAAAGGGATCAACCCAGGACCTGGATACAATTCCGGAGAATGGAATAGCTGCATGGATGTCTTCGTGGTTTTCAAAGTATATAAGGCAGATACAAGATTTCTTTCTTTAGCAAGTCCTCAATAAAAGACATTATTCCCTTTACGTATTGTATTACGTACCTTATGTATTTATCAAGTTTAGAACAGTAATGATGTCTATTAATCAATACAAATAATTATTAATCAAATAAGAAAATAACTACATTGCTTTTAAACTATTAATGGCACTCGAAATTAATATTTTCAACAAAGCAACATAATGTACATAAGCAATGATGAGGTATTGATAAGGCTGTGTATTTCTTTGGTGACATTTTTGATCAGTGATTTATGATACGTGAAAAATACGTTAAAAGTTATTCTCTTTACGCAAGTGGCCGCACTTTTTAGTTAAATTTTAAGAGTTAAAATTACAGTGAGGCTTAAATTTGATGTAGTAGGGTATTACGAGCCCTAGTATTACTGATTTCAAATGGATGTTTTCATTTCTTCCAGGAATTAGCCTGCAATTTCCACTGCCATGCACTTTCTCTTCTTTGTTTTTATCCTTTTTTACTGATAGGCTGTTCGTTACTGGTAGTTGGATTTCCTTTAGTCGCTAGTTTCGTGATACATCGCCAAAAGTGGAGCATTCAGCAAAGCACCACGCGAAAGTAAACGACGCAATAGGTCAGTTTCGTTTCGGGATTAGGTGCGGTCAAGTGTAACGATTCAGCAGTTACGGAAATTAAAAGGTTCATCAATTTAAATCGGAAATTTAGTCTATTGAAGACAGGTGAGTTTTACAGTTTCGCAACTTTTTTTTTTTATTCATGTTAAGGAACTTGACTAAATTATTCTGTTGAATGTGGGAAATTTGAGAAAATTAAACTGTAACTTTGTGTACTGCCACTGCGATCAAAGTCATGCGTAAACTAATATTTCAAAGTTATTGTTATGTATTAACACATAACGTTTATGTCACATGCAAGTAGTTTTAATTACCTGACGAACGAAACGAAACTACATTTATCTTTGGATGCTTATTTAAAATTTGAATTTCTTTTGTTTTGTGAATGGCAACAATATTTATTAGCACAAAAGGAGCAATTTGCCCAGGGCTATTAATTTCGTTTTGGCATTTTGCGTCGGTTGACTATAAATGTCGGTTCACTTTTCAAATTGTTGCCACCAAATATTAGAGCTCTGTATTAGTTTAAAGAAATTAAATAATGAAGAATCTGCATAAATGTATGTATGTTTCTCGCATTGTGGTAAAACGACGGTATCTAGAGCCATCAAATTTTGAATAATGTTAAGTCTCCACCCGAATTTGGGCGTCTGGAAGCCCTAATTTGGAATTTGTTTTATTATCTGTTTCGTATTTTGTAAAGCATATAAGAGTTTTTTTGATTTAAGAAACTCAACGATTTCAGAGCGAGCAATGGCAATACTGTACGGAAAGAAAAAAAAAAAAAATTTTTTTTTGCGCACGAGACTGTGCATAAGAAATTCTAAAAATTTTTTTAAAAATAATTTATGATACTGCTGTTGAAATGAATTTTATGGTTTAAGTGCGAAGAACGTAATACTTAATAAATAAAGGTAACGCACAAAATGTAAAAAAAAAAAAAAAAAAAAAAAGAGTTCCGTTTGGGCGTAATATAAAATCTGAAAAACTTCACATTTTTTTTTTTTTAAATTAAAACTCTTTATTATGTTAACAAAGTGTGTGTGTTTACAAAGCTCATTCTCTTAGTCCAAGGCAACTGCCATTGATTTATTAAGCTGTCCCAAGCGTCTCTGTACGTAGTTTCGGAAATCGGAATGTGTTTAATAATAGCAGCTGGTTCGTCCGTTAAAAGTCCTATTAAATATTAGAATTTCTGAATTTTTTCTAATGATTGATTGGTACGAACTGTCGCCATAAACAGATCTTTAAAATTAAGCAATTCAGTATATTTACTATTGAAACTCGGAAAGTTTAAACGAGGAAGAGTTAGAAGCAAAACAAATTTGACTTACTTGTAAAGCTTATTTATTAAACAAAAGGTAAAGAGCCAAAAAAAGATGCTATATGTTTGATATTATTAAAAAAATTAGCGATTTTTTCTCCCTGGAGCAAATTACAAAAAAAAAAAAAAAAAAAAAAAAAACCTATTTACAAAAAAACCAATATTACATGGTTGGTATGATTGTTAATACATTGTATGTCTCTCAGACGATGCAGTACAGTCCGTACAACGCCTAGGCATGCTGAGTATCAAATTATCGATCTGATCTTGAGGAATATTACACCACTCAAAAAGCAATGCTCTCCGAAGTTCCGGTAGACATGTAGGAGGAGGCTGACGGGCTGCAACTCGTCGGGCAAGCATGTCCCACACGTGCTCTTCTGGATTCAAGTCCGATGAGAATGCTGGCCAGTCCATACGGATGATATCCTCTGATTGAAGGCATTCGCTTACGATGTTTGCACATGTTGTTCCAGAATGACGTCCCGATAGATTTGGCTTGTCAGGGTTCCAATTTGAACATGCAGGTCAGTTCTGGAACCCAGAATAATTCCACCCCAAACGAGCACTCCTGCACCACCGTAACGGTGTCGTTCAATGGTGTTTTCTTGGTGGTAACGGGTACCTGGAGCTCTCCATATGAAAGTCCGGCGAGAATCAGACTGCAAGCTAAACCTGGACTCGTCGGAAAACATCACACAAGCCCACTGTTGCGGTGTCCACAATGCATGCTCTCTACTCCAGGCTAACCGCAGGCGACAGTGAGTTCAGTAAGTGGAACGCATCTGACAGGTTTACGAGCATATAGAGCAATCTGCCCTAAGCGTCTGTACACGGTCTGCCTTGAAATTGTCGTACCAGTGGCTGAAGAGAGCTGACGAGACAGGTCTGGGGCTGTGCTCCGCCTGTTTCTTTTGGCAGTAACTGCCAAATACGGGTCCTCATTCGGCGTTGTAACTCTGGGGCGACTTGTGCTGTAACGTCTACTCACATTACCATCATCTTGGAATCGTTGCCAAAGCCTGGAGATGACACTCTGGGCAATTTTCAAGTTCGTCTGATACTTCCAGTTGGGTACGCCCACATTCCAGACGGCCGATAATTCTACCATGTAAAAAATCATCCAAATGCGTCCTTTGTGTCATAACTATTCGGTTATTGCACTGAAATGCTTATAAAGCGCCTGCGAACAATCTTACTTCTTCGCCTGTATTCCTTATATATCACTCTCTTACACTCTCGTCATTGTGACGTACCATCGGTGTCATCTGGTTACTTCCTGAAATTTGCTTATGATTCTTCAAGATGTGTGTAGTGATTTTACAGGTGATATATTTATTTTAGAGTTCGGTTTCCGCGTGACTCCGAATTATGCTTAATTTATGGACATGAGTGTACTTCAGTGGTGGATTGATACATTACCTTTGTTTCAAAATATTTAGCTTCGAATTCAGTAGTTTTAGAAGCTTCTTCGGGTAGAGCGGCATCATGTCGATGAAATTCTTTAAATAGTTATTCATTTTTTATCCAATCGCGCTTGTAACTCCGTTAGGCTTAGCTGATTATTAAAACTATTAAGAAGCCGAGTTAGGATTGATTTGCCTCATCGTCTTTTATGTTTTAAGATCGGCTTTACTTAATTAAGTCTTTATTACCATGAATATTGATTAATAAGCGTAAATTACTTCAATAAGATATTCGAGTAGTAAAACTTTTATCACTTATCTTTCTAACGGCATCCACACGATCCGCATTATTAGTACATCAAGACAATTCTGAGACACGATCTGCATTATTAGTATACTTAAGACAATTCTGAAGTATGTATTTCCTGTTGAACAAGCCTCACCTGGGGAGCCAATGCTAGTAGCCTTGGACCAAATGAGCTTACAAACTTTATTAACATTCTAAAGTGTGAAATATTATTAAACAGAAAACTGTCTGCAGCACAGTACGGCTGAGAAAACTATACTATTTTATTTTCATGCTAGAAGAATAAACGTAAAATATAAATATTGTTGTTATTCACAAAAAAAAAAAAAAAAAAAAAAAAGGAAAGAAAAAGAAATGCAAATATTAAATACATATCCAAACAGGTGCTGTTAACCACGGTCGTAGCGAGCTTTGAATTTTTGAAAGTGGCCCATTTTTCGAAACGGAATTTCTCCAAAGCAGGTTAATTTTTTAAAATGTACAGCAAACATTTACGAACGCGAGGTGGGCTTCATTAATATATTGCGCACGCGGCAAAATTGCGCTATGGAAAGATTTGCCAGGTATCATTGAAATTTAGAAAGGTATGCATGATTTAAACAAACCTTAAATTTTGTTCCAATTGACAGGTGTTGTAATTAACACATTGTTAATTGAAAGGATTTTTTATCAAGTCCCTGTAACCTGTGTGAATGAAAGATTGTAAAGTAGAAGTTTCTTCTTCGGTACGAACTGACATTCATGTAAATCTTTGGTAAAAGTTTACAATTGGGTGCCCCTTGTTTATTGGCGATTCTTTTTTTAAGCCAAGATCGGCGCCAGGAAGTCACAATTTCAAGATGGCCGCTATACAAAACCAAAATAAGAAGTCGTAGAATTGCATAAGATCTGTGTCCATGTACACATCGATCTGTTTTTACTTAAAAAAACATCCTAGAATTGCACAAACTAGGCATTGAGCACTGCCTTAAATATGTCCATGTACACATCAATCTATTTTCATTTAAATAAAATCGGGAAGCTAAAACAAAGTTAAAACTATCGTGGTAACCAGAAGTGAGGTTTCATCGCCAAAATTTTTTTAAAGTGTCGCCAATCGAAGGGGCACCCAATTCTACACTAAAGCTAAATCTTTGTTTAAACAGGCTTGTTGCTTTTTATTCTGACTTACTTTAGTAAGTGTGAATCTAGCTTTAGGGGGAAAAAAGGAATCTTATATGATTATGTGGTTTCAATTTAAGATTCCTACGCGTGGGATACCGTTGAGGATGCTGTGTTGTAACACTCAACAAAAGTTTTCTTTTTTTTGGAGGGGAAGGGGACACACTTTTTTAATATGCTTTTTTCTTTTACCAATATTTGATTCCTCTGCTGTATATATACAAGCCTATTTTCCCTGCGTGACTATACATTAGGATGAAAGTTATGAAATTGTTCTTTTCTTTTCGCTTTATGAAGAATGCAAACAAATGCTCCAGCATAAATCTCGATAATAATTCTTATTTTAAAAATATCCTCATATTGCTCTCACCTTCCTGTTTTTTTTTTATTTCCTCTAAATAAAGCTGTACTGTAATACAGAAATAGAATAAAATACATAATCACAAATTGCACTAATTACCAAAATAACAAAATGCGGTGCAACAAACTAAGAATACAGAAGAAAACATTAAACGAATATGCGAGACAGGAGTTCCCAACTACCGAGGGGGGGGGAAATTCTTTCCAGGGAGGGGTAAAATACCAGCTCTAAGTGTTCAACCCCAGGCTAATAAATTCAGCTGTAGTTAAAAGCATGCTACAAAGGATAGCTAAGGCATGGTTGAAATCAGTTAAAAAGAATTATTGCATTCCCTCGCGCATGCTTTCGTGGTGTAAGTTGTAGCATATCTGGCTAGCAGTTGGAAGATCCATGATTCGAATCCCGAAAAGGGCATACTTGCTTTAAAAAAAAGTGATGTCTCTAAAGCGACACTGAAAAGGGTGAAAAAAAATTTAATTTAAGCATTATGTAAGGAAAATTAAATTAAGTGGAACATATTCCTCCATCCATTTTCTCTGCATAGAA